CCCTGTGGTTGGATCTAACTTCAGAGTGCAGTCTACAACTTCACCAAATTTGGCAAAGTAGTGCTTCAGATCTTTCTTTGTACTGTCCTAGCTAAGGCCTCCTATAAACATTTTCCATTCTTCCTGCTGTGCCTTCGCTGCTTCAGAGTGCCGTGGGGAGGAGTGTGAATGGCCTTCATCCTCCTCGTTCTTACTGGCATCGATCTTGGCCCCCTCAGACTTGGCACTGGGATGCCCCAAGGCCGCCAGCACCGCTGCCGCCACCCCTTCCCCGCCGAAATGCCCCTCAGTGTGACAATCTTTCCACAGCTGTTGTAACAGTGGATATTCCTAACTTTTGTCATCTTTGCCAATTCAATGGAGCAAATTCAATTTGGAGAAAATTTTACATGTTTAGTAATTTACTATTCCTTGGCTCATATTCTTTGACCACTTATCCATTAGGGAATTGCTATTAGTCTCATATATTTCTGTTAGTTCCACATATATATATATATATATATATATATATATATATATATATATATATATATATATATATATATATATATATATATAATACACATGCACACAGACACACACACACACACACATATATATAGGATATTATACCCTTTAAAAAGAGATATTTGTTATTCATTGTTTCCCAGTTGGCCATTTCCTTTTTCATCCTGGTGATGATGGTCATTTTATTCAGGCAAAATATTTTCAATTTCATGTAATGGAGATTATCTATTTTTAATTTGATGATCAGTGCAATCCACCTATCACTCTCTCTCAGCTATACCTATGAAAAATAACTGGTCCTAGTTTTTAATATTTAAATATTAGTATTAATTTATATAACAAATTAATGATATTTAAATATTAATATTTAACATTCAAGTCACATGTCTATTTCAAGCTTATTAGGATATATGGGGTGATTAGCCTAAGGCATTTTTTTGCCAAATTGCTTTCCAATATAAACTTATGTCTTCCTGACTTCAGGTCCATCACATTATCTATCCACTGCAACACCTCTAGCATTTATATATCACTTTAAGGTTTGCAAAGTCCTGGATTACTTCATCACTTGACGAGACTCAGTAAAAGTGTAGCTTGCATTGTAGTGTGAGAATGAACATTTTTCATTCCTTATCTTCCTAAGACCCAGCTCAGTCATTACTGCTTCCAAGAAGCCTTCTCAGATTCCACAGACTAGAATAGATCTCTCTGCACAATGTCTCTTCCCACTGCTTGACCTCTAGGCACTTACCATGAGACCTTTGTCAGTTTTGGGGTTGTTGGAAGGGAAAAAAATTATTTGTATGTATGTATGTATAGATAGATAGGTAGATATATAGATAGATAGATAAATGGCACAATGTGAGTTGAAGATTAAGTGGTCATATCTGGAAAATAAAATTAAAGGATGAGAGAGGATTATACTAGAAGAAGAAGAAGGGGAGAGATAGAATGGGGTAAATATTCTCAAAAAAACAGAAAAGAAAAGGCTCTTACAATGGAGGCAAAATGGGGGAAGGTGAGAGGGAATGAGTGAATCTTATTCTTATAGGATTTGGCTTATGGAAGGAATAACATACACATTCAATTGGGTATGGAAATCTATCTTCCCCTCTGGGAAAATAGGGGGAGAAGGGGAGAAGAGAGCAGGGGGATGATAGAGAGGAGGGCAGATTGGAAAAGGGGGTAATCAGAAGCAAATATTTCTAAGGAGGGACAGGGTCAAAAGAAAGAATAGAATAAATAGGAGGGCAGGAGAGGACTAAGGGAAATAGAGTTAGTTTTTCACAACATGTTTACTATGGAAGTGTTTTGCATAACTACACGTATAACGTATATTGATTTGCTTGCCTTTTCAATGCGGGTGGGGGGGAGGGAGGAAGGGAGAAAATTTGAAACCTAAAGTTTTAAAGACATGTGTTTAAAAAAATGTTTTCACATGCTACTGGGAAATAAGAAATACAGGAAATGGGGTACAGAAGTCTATCCTGGCCTACAGGAAAATAGAAGGGGAAGGGGATAAGAGAAGGGGTGGGTGAGGGATAGAGAGAGGACAGACTAGGGGAAGGGATATTCAGAATGCATGCCATCTTGGGGTGGGGGGAGGGGTGAGATAGGGTGAAAATTTGGAACTCAAAATCTTGTGGAAGTAAATGTTGAAAACTAAAAATAAATAAATTTATATTAAAAAAAGAAATGATAAATGAAAATTGCATGAGACAAAAGAGTTGATGTCCCAGTTAAAAAAAGATAGAATAAATAAATAGAGAAGAAAAAACATCAAACCCCCAAACCCCAAGATATCAAGTATAAGCAGTCAGATGGCCTTGTAAGCCTTCTAGGCCATAAGGACTCCAAAGACTGTCTTCTCTAATTGTCTGAAGTCTTAGAAGCAGCAAAAAAATGGCTCCATATGGGTTAGTGAAGACATAAAGAGAGAAAGAAGAAGCAAAGGAAGGAAACCAAGAGTAGTTACTCAGAAAGTTGTTAGGTTATTGTTGTTTGTTCTTCATTCTTAAAGAGGACCATGACATTGGGAAGGTGATGCCATGACTTACAAGTGAATTGGATTTAAGTGAAGGAGGGCTGTGCAAAGTCATCAGCCTCACTCTCTCCTCCTAAGCCATCTGGCTGCAGTGGTAAGATATAGGTCAGGAGGACTGGAGATGGCCCAGAGGAAGTGTGAGACCTTGGCCTTTTTAAATTAAGGGCTTTTCCAGGTCTCAGTTTGACTGAGGCAATGCCCATTCAGTGATTAGGGTTAAGTAAGCAATGAAGCAAAGAGTGGCCTCTTTTACCTAGTTAAAAAAATCAGTCTGGGAGGGGAGGATACCCAGGGTTTCTGGACAAAAGAGAAACAATTAGTATTATACTCTTATCCACCAGGGCCTAAACAATGACCAAGTGAAGTTTAGGCTGGGACTTATTGTTGGCCAATCTATGAGAGCTGGAGTGATTTGAGTTTAAAGAAATCACTGAGGATATTAACAGCACCTACTTCACAGAGTTGTTATGATCAGATGAGGTGACATTTGTAAGATACTTAGCACAAGGCCTGGCACATAGTAGGAACTAATAGACACATAATAGCTGTCCTTTCCCTTCTCCTGCCCCAGATATTTTAAACAATATATGCAAAACTGAACTCATTGTCTTTCCTTCTAAATTCTCCCCTCTTCCAACCTACCCTATTACTATAGAGAATGCCAGCATCCTCCCGTGTCCCAGTCTGGGATCCTAAGTGTCATTCTTTTCTCCCTTGGCACTGCCTCCTTCATGGACGTAAGGCGTATGTTGTTTGGAGGTCAAGTTTAGAGTATAATCACTCCTATGCACTACACTGTTGACATAGATTGGTGACAGAAGCATGAATCCTGAGGCTTGCAGTTTCCTTGAGGTAGGCAGAGAGAAGAGGAGTCCTCTCTTCTCCCTTGGGAAACTTTCCTAGGGAAGGAACATGACTATCATGAAGCGTTGGGGGATGGAGGGATGGTAAGGTTGTGGACCAGCTGGCACTAGAAGAGAAAGAGGACAGAAGGTGGGAAGCAACACCCCTCCCCTCCCTGGGAAGGATGTGGGAATGAGGAGTGCTGTCCTGGTAGTTGGGTGCTAGTTCCAGCTTTAGACAGAAGGAAGGAGAGAGTGAGCAAGAAGAAAAGGAAGAGGGTATAAAGAGAGAAAGAAAAATGATGGAGAGAGGGAGCAGAAATGATGGGGTAATGGGACCTGGACACCTAAAAGGAAAAGATTATGTCTTTGAAAGCAACCCAATACCTGAATTTTCCCATACATTTCAGCAGCCCAGATCCCTGGCACCTCTGCCCAAGGCAACTGGCCCACCCCAGGCCACCTACTTGATATCTCTTTCAGTGTTGCACCTGATCCATTCCAGACTGTTTACTGTTCCTTAATTCCATCCAGATTCCTTTCATTGTCCTTTTTTTGTATATAAGCATCAATTTCACCCCCATTAAGTTCCAAGTTCACTAGGAACCTTGACTGCTACTACTGACATTACAATAAACCTTGCCACTTGATTGAAGATGGTGTGTTTTTTTGTTTTTTGTTTTGGCTAGGCAGTGGGGTTAAGTGACTTGCCCAGGGTCACACACTAGTAAGAGTTATGTGTCTGAGGCCGGATTTGAACTCAGGTCCTCCTGAATCCAGGGCCGATGCTCTATCCGCTGTGCCACCTAGCTGCCCCTTGGAAGATGGTTTGAGTAGTGAATTCGTTCCAGCTAGATGCTGCCCTGTACCCTGACATCTCAGGGTACCCAGCAACCCCCAAACACATCAGAGATGGAGAGAAAAAGGGATTTTGATGACAGCCCACAGCTTCTTTCTTAGGTGAATCAAAGTCAAGTCCTAAGCTTCCTGGCCTACCTTATTCCTTGGGCTATCCCTTTTCCTTTGCTTCATCTTTATTAGCCTCCCCCTTGTGATCATTCCCCTCATTCCCTCCCAAACTGAGCATTAGGGACCCTCCAGATTAAGTCCTGTATTATCCTTAACCTCTTCCCCAGGGCAGATTGGCCATTTTCTATATGTCAGCCAGTCTACCAGACAACCCCCAATTACCTGAATCACTATTTTGTGAGGATAGGCTAAATACAGGTTAAAAGTATCCTTAGGCTGTGAATGACTTAGCTATTCTCAACAATGCAATGATCCAAGACAAGCCCAAAGGACTAATGATGAAGCATGCTATGTGCCTCCAGAGAAAGAACTGATATTGATTGAATACAGACTGAAGCATGAAATTTTTCTTTCATTTTTTTCTTTTATTCTAGTCTTGTACAAAATGACTAATGTAGAAATATTTTACGTAATTGCACATGTATAACTTACATTTGATTGCTTACAGTCTCAGGGAAGAAGGAAGGGGGAGGGAAAGCGGGGAGTGAGGGAGATAGAATTTGGAACTCAAGACTCAAAACGAAGAAAGTCTAAAAAGAAAAGTAAAATCATCCTTAGTACAGGTAGCAGAAAGATGATATTCTCAATATTAGCAAAATTTATTGAAAGCATCATTATCATAACAAGGAAGAAAAAACCTGAAGCCATAAATTTCAAAGTTATTGTTCCTAAGAGTGTGAGGAAGATCAATATGAGGCTCCAGGCAAGCCAGTTCTTCCAATCCTCATTGAGAATAAACCCTGTGGAGCAGACCAAGGCTTGTTACCTCTTAGATCCTGGTCCCAGGTAGACTGTAGATTCCCTTTCCCATGCTCTCCTCTAGGAAGTCTGGAACCACTTGTCTCTTCTCTTATCCCCAGTTATAGCCAATAGCTGACTTTCTCCACCCCTCTGGATTACCTGACACACCAAATTATATGCAACCTGTTGCATCCTCAGGAGCCTTTTCATCTCCTTACTCTTAAATTCCTCAAGAAATCTCTGGGCCACTACACATGTGAAGAAAAGCAATCCACATGCTGCTATGGGAACCTAGGGTGCGTCACACTTGTCTTTGAAAGGGAAAAAAGGATACTTGGGGTCAGGACATCCAGAGATTGGAGTAAGAACAGAATGAGGACAGGGCGTTAACACCCAATGAGTATTTTATGAGGACTGCCCTTTTATATTGTCCAATTATCCTTCCCCCATCTCAGCTCCAGGTCAACATTACCTTGGCAACTGTGCCGGGTCCACAAAAAACAAATACAAACACCGACTTCCAGTGACAAAATCACTGTCAGGATCCCATTCAGATACCACCAAAATTTCCTTTTCTGAAGATATTCTGAAAGAGGATGGAAGAGTCAAAGACATAACCACTCAGACTCTCCCCTACCCTCTGGACTATAAATTCTGACTGAAGGGCTCAGGAGCTCCCAAAAGACTGGGAATGGGAGTTTTCTCCAACTAAATCTGTCTCATGGAAGATGACCACTGGCCCAACTCTCCAGGTGAACTGAGAAAGTACTGAAGTGGAGAGATGTGAATCTGTTGTGATCCCATGGTTCCCAAAGACAGCTCATTGCCACTTATTTTCACCCATGTTTTCTTATACAGAGGACATTCCAGAAGAGGGTAGAGATCACCAGCCTCAGGAATAGTAGTGTTAGTGGGAAGATCCAGGGACTCAGGGACAATTCCTTAGCCCAGTCACAGACCCCTGAGGAAAGAGGAGCTCTAAGACTGAGATATGTCTTGCACCCCTTTAAATTTTCTGTTATAAGCAAAGCACCCCAGAAAATCCCAAATGGTGTTTATTATATGGGTTACTGGTGCTATTGTTGGGTTAATGCATTAGGGGAAGGGTGGAAGCACCCAGTGCTCATATCCCTGTATCTTCCCTGCTCAAACTGGCCCATAGGTCTCAAAACAAATTCCTTGACCTGGCTTTTCATCATACTTACCTCTCATGGTGAGTAAGAGAAATGTAGAGAGTAAATATGATATTATCCACAAGCCAATGATATTCCTCATCATATTTCCTAACTGGGGATCCATTGCAATAGTCTCTTCCTCACCTGAAACATATCATGCCAACTCATTCAAAGGGATAATGTTTCTACCAGTGACATTTTTCTTATTAATTTATTAGCCATTAACATAATGTATGTGTCAAATAAATGCAGTAGTTTCTCATATGAGAATAATATCATCCCCTCTGCACATCAAAATAACATCAAGGTAACCAATTTTGTTGCCAAATTTAGTCTTAATCTTCCTGTGCTTCTGTAATCCCATGGCACATTCCTGATTAAGATTATGGGTTCTGTCAACGTATTTGAAAGCCCAAAACATTCCTTAGTCAAATTAGTTTGGGAACTTCTAGTCTTTGGCACCTCCTCTGTTCTACTAATATAGTAACTGTGTGGTAGTGGTGATGGTGGTGATGGTGGTGGTGGTGGTGGTGGTATGTGTGTGTGTATGTGTTGTGTATATATGTGTTGCCTCACTAGAAGCTGGGCAAAATGATGCTTCTTTTACACCCCTCCCTTGCTACTTTCTTCTTTCTTCCTTGGTTTCCCCTTTTTCTGTCTTCCCCTCCCAATCTTCCCACTTCCTTTCTTTTTCACCTTGTGTTGAAACCTGAAAAATTGCCATTGGAACCTAACAAAATAGTGAGAAAGAAATGGGATTAGAATCTCTCCTCTACATAAGTAAGAGGTGTCAGGTGGAGAAGAAGAATAAGACAAACCAGCATCTTACCTAGAACATATCTTTCATAGTGTGTTCTCCCAGACCTACTTAGGACTAATTTTCTTGATTTCAGACCAGAGATACAAACTCCTTTTCCACACTGGTCTAACCCCTTGGATTTGGTTACCCTTGGCACTGCGGTGCAACATGCTGTTCATACTCTCTCAGAGTGGAAAAACAGCTTTTTTTTCTCCTTAGATGGGCCTAATCAGGAGTGATCACAAGATACCAGGAGACAGGATTCAAAGTCTTGTCTCACCAGAAATCAGAACAAATCTGTTCCCTCATTCTTATGTAATGTATAAAAAGTATGAGAGACATATCTGGGTAAGTAATCATTTTATTAATTATGTCTAGCAAATAACTAACAAAATTAAGGTCATTTAGCCATCTCTCATAAGCCAAAGATGGATCATAGACCCTACTGATGCTAATATGGCTTTGGAAGAGTGAGTGTTCTCCACAGATGGCAATCAACTCTGATTAGTTAACAATTATTGAGGAGAATGAATGTTATAATAAAAAGTGGACCTATTCTAATGACAGGCTAGGGGAAATGTGACTTTGATTATATCACTCTTACTCCCAGGCCATCTCCAGTCCCCTCCTAGACAGAAGATCTATCCTCTCCCACCCAAACTTAAGTAGAATACAACAGGGCTTCTCCTGTTGGGTGGGATCTGAACAGACTGAGGAGATTGTCAAACCTAATCTCATCATCAGCCCTATTCTTCGGGGGCTGATTTGACCTAGTAGAGAATGAGGAAATGGGAAGGGAAAAACCCTGGATCCCCCCCATAATAATTGGTTATTAATGTCAGAGAGCAATAACTTCTTTCACTTGGTTCACACATTGCCAAAATCACACACAGCCTTGTAAGCCTTCTAGAGCATAAGGACTCCAGAGTGTTTTCTCCAATTGTCTGAAGCCTTAGAAGAAGAAAAAAAAAAGGCTCCATATGGGTTAGTAAAGACATGGAGAGAGAAAGAAGAGGCAAAGGAAAGAAACCAAGAGTACTTACTTGGAAAGTTGTTAGGTAATAAGAAATTGAACAACTTGAAAGATTATGGGAAGGAAAAAGAACAGAATGTCTCAGCTTTCTCTTTCTCAGCTTTCAGTGATTCTCCTACTCCATAATTAGGCCCTAGAAAACAAACAAACAAAAAAGTAATGACATGCCTGATCTCTCTCTGGGTAGGAGGGCAGCATTAGTGATCTCATGGGGAAGCAGTTTAAAACTTCTCTGAAAATTTTGGGATTTGGAGTTTTGCTCATTTTCCTGCCCAGGGAAATAGTGGAAACTAACAGATGAGAATGATGCAACCCCAGAGATGGCTTGAATGATCAGGAATTTCAGGAAAGAGATGGAGGCCAACACTGATTGTGGCAGATGCGGTGGAGATGGTGTTGAGCATGGCACCAGGGCAGCCAAGGTCTTCATCTACCCCAGGGAGATGGGATGGTAGCACCAAAGTAGAAGATAAGCCTGATCATTAATGGACATCCTCCTCATCCCCAGCCATGAATCCAGGTGAATGAAGAGGTATCTTTTTTCTCCTCTCACTGTCTCTTCCTTCTTCCATTCCATCCTTTTGGGAAGAGACTGAAATCCAAAATTTCCTGTTCCATTTAAGCTGTTTTTCAACGTTTAAAAGCAGTTTGTTAAGCTTGGTTTCTCTAGATCAGGTCTGCACAATACATAGCCCTCAGGCCACTTGCAGCCCACCAAAGGATTTTGGGCAGCCTGCCACTGCCCACTCTCTCCTGTTTCTCACATGACCTGTGGCAAGCAACCATCATCAGTCTGTCTCCAGTGACCTATACTTAGAAAGTGAGCCCCTAAAAACCTAACTTCGGCCTAAAGAAGTTTAGCCTATTTCAGTTTTGGCCCTTACCTACTGCCAAGTTGTGCAAGTCTACTCTAGACAAGAGAAATCAATCTCCATTGTGCCCTTGGGTTTGTATACCCTGAAGCTGCCCCATGGGGCAGGGGTTTCAAGCTGCCCTGGTAGTCAGATTGACACTTTAGGATTGAAACTGTGGGGCTGGAGCTTTAGCCCGAGGCTCTTTCTTCTGGTGAGAGGGCCAGAGAAGGAAGAGCTGGGAAAATGACCAGTGTTCCCCTGAATCTGAGGCATGTGGAGATGAAGACTAGAGTAGCTGGCCCTGGGAACTATTGAAAATCCCATTAGCTGCTGAAATGAAAGGAGAGAGAACTCTCTCCCACTGTGCTTTCCTAAGGTCCCAGACATGCAACCTCTGTCTTTAATCTTATTCACTACCTGTGAGTGTGAGAGTGGAATGGGGGGTAGAGACCTCCCTGTAGAAGGACTTAATGCTTTTCTTATCATTTTTGCTATGTGTAGTTAACTATATGACCACAGTATGCTGAGATTTAATTGATTGGCAGAAGAGATTTTAAGAACAGGTAGGGCCTCTAGAGTTATCACGTCCAACAGGATATTTTGATCCTGTGTATTCAGTGGTGGCCCTTCCACCAGATCTCCAGCCTGCTCTCCTGCCTTGAAGAAGGGGAATAACATTATTCCTTTTCCTCCAAGCACCCTTCTCCTAACCTCTTTTAGAGGACTCCACACCTTTTGGTGAACAGAGGCACCTAAGTGATGCAGTGGATAGAGCACTGAACCAGAAGTTTTCCAAAAAAGATACAGGCCTTTCTGAGTTCCAGTCTAACTTTAGATTTATTAGCTATGTGAACCTGGGTAAGTCACTTAACCTTTGTCTCAGTTCCCTTAACTGTAAAATGGGGATAATGATAGCATTTATTCCTAGGGTTGTTGTGAGGACCAAATGAGAAATCTACAAAGTGCTTAGCAGTATCTGGCACACAGTAGGTGCTTAATAAATGTTTGTTTCCTTCCTTCCTATGGAAAATGAAAATCTACCTAAACTCATTCCCCAATAACAAACTCTGCTCTGCTCATAACCCTCCCCCATCCCAATGATTCTAAACCCCTGGTCATCATTCAAGCCCTATTCTCCATCCCCCATGGTCTGATCCCTTATTCCCATTCCCCTCAGCCCCACCCAGTGTCCCATTCTGCAGTTACCCACTCTTTCAGCTGTCTGATATGTCTGCTCCAGAGACAGTAAACTTACTTTTATCTTCAAAGCTTTCCTTTCTCACTCCTTCCATCTTTTGCGTCTCACTGAGACCTGGCTCTTGATAACAGAATCTCCTTGGCCACCATTTGCAACACTGGCTGCACTTTCACTCATACTCCTTGCTCCTCATTTCTGTCTCCAGATTTTCTCTCTACTACTATCACTCAGTAATCTCTCCTTCTTTAAGGTTCACTTAGTCCATATTTACCACCCAATCATTTCCGGTAGTTGCTGTCCATAGACCTCCAGAACGCTGCCCTTTACTTCATGAGTTCAGTGCTTGAGTCACAGTCTCTCCTCAACTCCTGCTTTCACAGTAGGGAACTTCAACATATATGTTGATAGTTCCTCAGACACCCTTAACTCCTAGTTCCTCAACTTATTCATTCCCCATGTACTCCTCTATCCCATTTAAGCCACCCACAAATATCATCATACCCTTGATCTTGCCACTTCCACAGATATACCACTTCTGTGCTGATAAGCTTTGAAATTCCCTTATCTAATCATACTCTATTGTCACTTCATCTTTCCTTCTGCCTTGCGACCCCTAACCTTACTCTTCATTCACATCATGACCCCCGGTCTTTCAGTCACTCAGTTCTCTCCCAGGCAATCACTCCTCCACTAGCTACACTTTCCTCCTTTCCCCAGCTTGACCTCTTGGTGAATTGGTTTAAGTCTACATTGTCCTCTTCTCCTGAGTCCCTTATCTTCTCATCCTCTTATAAATCTTGCCCTTCCATACCTCGTCTTTGGATCACTCCCACTCTTTGCTTCCTTGACTGCTACACACTGCTGCTGAAAGAAGCTGGAGAAAATTATGAAACTGTGCTGACTAGGTTCTCTACAAATTTGTGTTATATAGCCTCAACTGGGGCTTAAGCAAGGCAATTCTTTTATAATTCCCATATCAATTCACTATCCCACTCTCCACAGTGGGTCTTCCAAACATTTTTTATACTTCTTAAAGCCTCCCATGGCTCCTCCTTCCCCCCACCCTCGTAGCTGAGAACCTTGACTCATATTTTACTGAAAAAAAATTGAGGTCATTGTTGGATAGCTCTCTTTTCACTCCTCCTCCTCATCTCACACCACTTAGATGCCTTCTGCTACCATCTCCACCCTTTTCCTTGCAAAGGCAAATTTCTCTCCATTCACATGTGATCCCATTCTAGTTCAGCAGATTGCTCCCTTCTATTATCCTAACTCTCTCATGCATCTTCAAACTCTCTATCTACAGGCTCCTTCCTTATTGCTTACAAACACCCATCCTCAAAAACCCCTCAGTAGATCCATCCATCCAGGCTATCTCTTCTCTTCTTTGGTGGCTAACTATGTCAAGAAGGTGGAGGCCATTGCCAGTTGTCCTGACCTATGTCTGGCCACTGGACTCTGATGACTCTGGAGGAGAGAATGAGGCTGATGACTTTGCAGAGCCCTGCCTTACTGAGCTCCAATTCACTTGCAAGTCAAGACACCACCCTCCTGATGGTGCTGGTCCTCTTTGAGAACAAAGGAAGAACAACACTGTGAGTAGTAATAGCTGCCACCCTGGGGACCCAATGGAACAGTGCCATTTGGACAATGCTGCTATTTCCTCCCTTCTCCTCCTCCTCTTATTCCTCTTCCTCCTCTTCCTCTTCTTCCTTTCCCCCATTTTCCTTCTCTTCTCCCTCTGTCATATCCTTACATGTGGTTATGATTGCTTATATTTCAGAAAGTATCTTGGGGTTTGGGAGTTGGACATTTATTCTTCTTCTCTATTCTATCTTTTTTCTTTTTATGAACTGGGACCATTAACTCTTTTGTCTCATGTAGTTTCCATTCATGATTTTTTTTTTGGTGAGGCAATTGGGGTTAAGTGACTTGCCCAGAGTCACACAGCTAGTAAGTGTTATGTGTCTGAGGCCAGATTTGAACTCAGTTCCTCCTGACTCCAGGGCCAGTGCTCTATCCACTGCACCATCTAGCTGCTTCTATTCATGATTTCTTGAAATATAGCTCTGATAAATCAGGCTTTGATAAAGCCCATTGGGATTCAGATAGAGCTACTTGACTACTTCTTTACAGCCAAGTCACTCTGGCTCTTAATTGTCTTGATTGTCTGCCTCAGTTCCCTCAACTGTAAAATGGGGGTAATGATAGCATTTACTTCCTAAGGTTGTTCTGAGAGCCATGTGTGACTGGAGTGGCAATTTGCTACTGAACTGATTATTCCCTAGTCCTAGTTAATCCCTTCCCCTCTAAGGCTCCTTCCATGGTCTCATTAGCCTTCCTTTCTTGCTCTGAACTTTCAAGAACTGGACTGCACCCCTCTCTCTCCATTATTTCAGTCCCTCATTCCCTGAGTCCCCTTGGTCCTGAAGTGCCTTCAACTCTCAAATTCCTTTAGCGCTGTTTTCCTGAGGCCTCTTGTCCATTCAGAAGCATAAAGCGGTTACAGGTTCTATTGGGGACCTGGTTAGAGTTTGCATTTTGTATCCATTTAGAGGTATCTGATATTGTGTGGCCTTGGGTCTCACAAAGAGAAGAGTTAATCATTGGTCCTTTCTCTCCAATAATAATAGTGATAAAGTTTTTGTACCACAATTGGAAAATTACAAAACATTTTACAGACATCACTTCAAATAAATCTCATAAGAATTCTGAGAAGTAGGTACTACAGGTTTTATTATTCCCATTTCACAGATGTGGAAACTGAGTATCAGAGTTTAAGGAATTTTCCCATAGTCACTGAGTTAGTGTCACCAGTGGGATGTGAGCCCAGATCTGCTTGATTCCAACTCTCTATGCACAAGCTCATTTATGCTCCACTCACTAGTGTCTCTCCCTCCACCCCAAATTCACACACACACACACACACACACACACACACACACACACACACACACTCCCCCATCCTCCAGCAGATCCCATGGATCTCCCAGGAAGACCTGTCCCAAGCCATCAGATTCACTGGTCCATTTCTAGAGGGGAGAGAGTGGGAAATCATAGTATTATGGAGTCACAAAGAGTGATGGGACCTTGGAGACAATCAAGTCCAACAGTCCCTCCCACCCCACCACTACAACCCACTCCACACTCACCCAATCTACACATTTTACCACAGAAAAAAAACAACCAAAAGACAGAAGGAGACATGGAAGGTCACATATGGTATTTGTGACATTGCCTACCTTGGCACCTAGGGGAGGTCTGCTAGAGTTGGGGTAGATTCTGTGTTCTACATAAAGTGAAAGTAAAAATAAAGTATAGGAAGTCAAGAAAAGTGAATCAGAAATTCTAGAAGCCCATTGGATAGGGGTGAGTCAGGTGACAGGGCTCGGAGACAGTCACCAAGTAGGCAGAGCTAGAACAGTATCTGGGTCTAGAGAGGTAAAAGACATCTTCAAATGGAGGCTGAACTATTAGCAGCCCTGTTGTAAAAGAGGGGATGAGTTGTGGCCATAGGCTATTGTAAAGGGTAAAGAGAGGCTCAGGAAAGAGCAGAGTGGTTGTACAAGGCAGTTATTAGGGACAGTCTCTGAGGGAGTCTTGGACTGGTGGTCTTTGGTGCCATGGGTTATTCTCCTGGTAGATAAACTCCTTGTGGCTCTCTGTTTCCTGTTATATTCTTTGATAAAGTAGCTTCTGGTAGGTGACTGGCCATAATTAGCTGGGCTGAGGGAGGAAGTAGCATGGAGACCAGGTCATGTGGTCATAGGATGGGGTGTGTGGGGGGGGAAGACATGACCAGATGAACTGCTTATCCAAACCCACAAGGTTTCCCCTCAGAACTCTGGAGTAGAAAAGATAAAGGTGGGAAATAAGGACTTAATGGATACCTACTGCATGCCAGTCACTGCTCTAAATGCTTTACATACATTATCTCATTTGATCCCCACATCAGCTCTGGAAAGTAGATGCTATTATTATCATCCCTATTTTGTAGTTGAGGAAACCAAGGCATATAAAGATTAAATAACTTGTCCATGGTCCCATAGCTAGTAACTGTCTGAGGCTGGATTTCAACACAAGTCTTCGTGACTTCAGGCCCACTGGATAGAATTATCCACTGCACCACCTAGCTACCTGTACAAACAGCTACACCTCTGGAGAGCCTACTGGACATGGGTGGTGTGAATTGGGCATGAGCCCCAAGTGGGGTGCTACAAAAGTAGAATTACTTCATTGGGAATAATCAGGGGCCTCTTATGATCTACTCTGGTTACAGCACCTCACTGAAGCACAGGGAGCTGAGTTCACTCAGCAATTTTTGGAACACATGCTCTGTGTTGAAGAACTCAGTGTTTTGGAAAGATGCAGCAATCCCATAGTCCTTTTGTTGACAACAGAGGCAGAGAGCTGTTTCAAAGAGGATTGGCTACTGATCAGGAAGAGCAGCCCATTCAATAGACTTTAAAAAGAGAGACAACTTCCACTGTTGCTCTCTTCTTCCTCTCTTTTGAATTTGTGGCTTAGAATGCTCTCTTTCTGCAAATTCTCATGAAAGGATGAGAAGGGCATCTCCTAAGCCCTGTGACCTTAGCAGCAATGGTAACTGTTCACACATGACAGCATTAGTTGCCTAGGAGAGCCTGAGACTGGTTCTTGGGTTCCTCTGCTTCATGTTTCTATCCCTGAGCAAATCTGACCAATAGTGATCCTGAGATGGGCCTTTAGGAGGTCCTGGGGCCCTTGCTGGAGCTGACTGGCAGCAGAAAGAGTTTTCTGCAGCTACATCTGGTTCACAGAAGATTATCAGTGATAGGAGGATGAGGCCAGACCTTGGCAGACTTATCAGAAGACATGGGCCTTGAGGGAATTGTTTGGATGGTGCACAGTCAAGTGGAAAGTGAAATAGCTCTTTTAAATATCAAGCTCCTGAGAGAATATAATTGGAATTATGGGTTACTTTTAATGTTTTAATTCTTTGCCAATGTACACCTATGATACTTTTCTTTTTTAAATATTTCTTTTGTGTGGAAGAAACAAATAGCTATCCTATACTGCTCCACATTTTAGACCAATTCCCTCTGTAATTCCTTTTGGGGAGACCCTAGACATGAGCTAAACTGAAGCCTTCAATGTTTTCTTCTGGGGGAAAAAAGCCCAATAGACAAGAAGAAAGAGCCTGATACCCTTTTATGGGGAAGGGTCTGAACTGAGTCCTCCTGTAAGCCCAGAGCTCAGGGCATCCCTAGCTTCCTGGTCTAACATCAGGTCTGTTGTTTCCCATGTGGAGATAGAGATGCCTTCTTCCACTAAGGGGCTCCAGCTCTGGGCTCTTGAGCAGACTGAGTTCATTCCCAGCAGAACATGGTCCCTAGAGAGAGGGCTCAAGCTCTTTCTCACACTTGTTGACTAAAAATAATCCAATAATGACCGATATTCCATACTCCTAAAGCTGAACTTGACATCTTTCCCCTCAAAATCCCTGCCTCTTCCCAGTTTCCTTTACCGATGTTTATGAAACTGTTTCATCTTCTTTGGTTCTTTTCCTTCCCTTCATCTCCAGAAGCCATCATTAATGTTCTGTTAATTCTGCCTCTGAAATTCCTCATCTCCCTTCCTACATTTTACTCCTACTGTCTTCACCCTAGTATAGGCCCCTACATCTATCATTCACATCACTGCTAAAACAATATTCCTGATAAATAGTTCTGATCCCTTCACTCTACTGCTCAGTGTTCACTATTGGCAGAATGAATGTTTGATGAACGAAAATCTAAAGAGGGATGGGAATGTTCCTGTGTCTCAGGAGCCCACAGGTAACTATGGTGTTTGATATTATAGGTGGGGGAAATAAATGATCCTTTGGAGGGTCTTTATTTGATGGTTCCTAAGGGTACCATTGGGTGAAATGACTAGGAGTTAGGAGGCAGTGAATGATATTATTCTGTACTATCCCTGCTCAAACTGACCCATTGGACTAAAGGGGAATTCCCTGCCTCAACTTTCCATCATACTTACCTCTTATGTTTAGTGTGAAATAATGTTTAGTAGTGAAATAAAAAGTCAAATATCAATATCCAGATGCCAGTTATCCTCCTCCTCCTAATGCCCAGCTGGGGTATCCATTGCAACTCATTTTCCTCACCTGAAACACAGCAAACCAATCCATGGCTGTATGACTTGCACACCCTGTCCTTTGACAGCACTAGGTATTCCACAAATGATTGTAGGAATCTCCTCCCCAAGCAAAAGAAAGTGTGCTATAGGGGCACCCCCACCACCACAGAGGGCAGGAAGATCTTTGGCTCTGCTCAGGGAAGGGTATAGAGACCTGCCTTTACACAGAACACAGACACAGCAAAATACTTTGGGGCTCTCAATCACTTACCCCATTCCTAAGTTCCTTGTGGGCCCTGCTGCTCCCTGGTCTGTTCCTTGCACTTATTCTTCACTCAAAGCAGCCTCCTCCCATATCCTAGAAACTATTTTTTCAATCATAAGTCAGAGCATATTTACTGACAATGATGTTAGACTTCACAGAGGCAGCTGCAGGAAAGATATAATTTTGTTGGATGTAGTAAGGGCTATTTTGTATATTTTGGGGAGGGGAGATGCATTCTTTTTTAGATGTTTTGGGGGAAAAACCTTAACTGTAGGAGATTCATTTTTCTATAGATAGATGAAGGATAAGACACCTAGTTAGCTAAGCTACGCAGTAGCAATAAAGGCAGAATGCCAGTGGAGACCTCATCAATGTCATTAAGAAATTTCCTTAGTTTCTGGGGATGAGCTTGTGGCTAGAGAATGAGCACCATCTTGTGTGTCTAGGGTAGAGGGACTTGATAAAGAAGGGGATTCCAAATCTTCTCAGAAGGCATCCTAATGAGATAAATGATGCCTGTATGGGTGGGCAAGGAGGGACAATCTCTCTGTGCCAAGAGAGAATCAGCAGAGGCCAAGCTAGATCTAGATGGGGTGCATTTCCTCATCTGGGATGCAGTTTCTTTCTTTGTGCTTATGTCTAATTACCTTTTCCTGGTCTGTATATTATAATGGCCCATATATCATAAAATTATTTCCCTGATCCATGTAACATAAATCTGTATATTCACTTTTTCCTTCTCAATAAACAGTGGCAAAAATACCCAAAACACTGATGATCTGGAGTGCGGGGAGATAGCTGGGGAAAGGGAAAGAGGGAGAGGATGGTAGACTGACCCTCAGTCCCAAAGGCAATGACAGTCAGAAAGGAAAGGAAACAGAGCATGGAGGTGTGGCAGATCTCCCCTTTCTGCCCTCCCTCTGTTGTCCTTGCTTCCTCATCTTCTTACCCTACCCTCTCTTTTTCATTTGAGGCCTTGCACTTCTCCTCATATTCTTCTCATTATATTCTAGATAATAGCAGTTCTATCATTTTATGCAGTACCAGCCTGTCATTTAATTAAAATCCGCAGTAAACTCCAGTACTGCTGTTAAGAATTGGTCCAGAGCTTCATTATCAGCCTGGCCTCCCTTATTGAGAATGATGTATTCCACAGGCCCCCTGGCCTCTCCTCAGGACCAGAATTTGCAGATCCTATTTCTATATTCCAAAGTTCAGTGTTCTCTGATTGAAGTAGTTTGGGAAGCATCAGTCTTTGATGCAATTATTGATCCAGCAGTCTAGTAGTCATGCCATATACTGTGTGTGTGATGGACTGCAATGGTTTGGTTAGGCCTGGAGATGAGACACCAAAGCGATTTTACATCACAGATGTGATTATATTTGTAAACTGAACCTGTGCTCTGGCCCCTTCCCGTGGACCCCAAGATCAGGCTGCTTCCCATGACACATGTGCTCTGGTGTCTTGCTAAAGGGTGTCCACAACCAGAATCTCTCAGTTGACCCCTTAGTCCCCATTAGGAAAGGAGGGGAACATTCTTCCACAAAGGATTGGCCACTGAACTGAAAGCACCTATCCATTTAGAAGGCTTAAAAAGTGAAACAACCTCCTTTCTCTTCCCCCTCCCCCCTTGAACTCATCTCTTGGGATTGCTCTGACTCTTTCAGACTTTCAACAGGAATGGGAGAGGGGATCTCTCCTTTTGCTTCCTTCCCAGCAGCAGCTATAGTGACTATATGCAGGTGACAGTGGGTACATGTGCTTGCCTGAGACCAAATCTCCAGTCCTTAGTTGCTTTTTTTTTTTTTTTTTTGTTTTGTGTTTCTTTCCATGAACACAGATGATGGAGCAGCAATCATGAGATGGATGGGGACTGCCTCATGAATTCAGGTGGCTCACAGTCATTGAATGTTCTGGGTGCTTGTTGGCAGGAGGCACTTCCTACAA